CCTGGTGGGAAGGGTGGCAGCACCCGCTGGGGGCAGGTGGCAGTTTCAACTCCACCTTCTGTTTCATTGGCATGGCTTCCAGAGGTTGCCCCTGTTCCCCGGGACCCTGGCAGGGAACCAGGGGATGGACCCTCAGCCAGGGTTGCTGTCCTGGGGGTCACCCTTCCCCTGGAGATAGCTTGAGAGGTGGATTCCACAAAATAATCATACACCTTACCTTTCAGCCTGGGCCCACTCCCTTCCACCTTCTGTATGAAATTCTCCTCCATTTGAACCCGGGCCACTGATGAGAAGGTGTAGGAGGCGTCAGTGGCTCCCTCGTGCTGGTGCAGGGCCAGGCCCATGTCGGAGGCAGCCTGGAGAGCCCCAACCTCTTCCCTGCTTACCCCGGTCATGTGGGTGAAGACCCAGCTCTGGTTCATGTCACTGCTGCCCTCTGTGGGGACCATGCAGTGCCGGAGGGGGGATTCCAGCTCCCCCGGTCCCGGCTGCTCTGGGGGTCCCTCGTCTGGCCATGGAACAGGATCACCCCACACACAGCTGCTGTCTGCACTTGCAGCAAGTCCAGTTAGGGAGCACTGGGGTTCACTGCCCAAATGGGGGTTCTGGGGAGGATCGAGCTTACCACCAACAGCTGTTCGGGCATGCTGGCTGTGGCAGCGAGGAAGCACCCACTCAGAGTCCAGGCCCTGACTGCCTGGCTCCTTGCCAGGGCCTTTTCTCTCGGATTTCTCGTCTCTGGAAGTGGCTCCCACTGTCAGGATGCAGGGACTTCCTGGATTCTCCCAGCTGCAGCCCAGGGGTGCTTCGGTCTCCCTGCTGGCTCTCCGGCGGCGTCTCGGCCTCCCGTGCAGTGCCCCAGGAGAAGCCCCCGGGATGGCGGGCTGCCCTGAACCCTCTGCTTCCTGCTTGGCTTCTGTCTGGGTGTCCCCGCCCCGCAGCGGGGCCCGGGCAGGCCTGGACCTGTACAGTCTATAGGCTGCGGTCACCAGGAGCAGAGCGGCTGCGGTCAACACCACCTTGCCAGTCAGCTGCATGTCCAAATGCCAGGCCTGGGGCTCTGCTCCTCTGGAGAGCATGCTTCTCAAGCTGACCTGGGGCTGAGGAATGCAAGGAATCCGATTAATGATTGCCCAATAGGGACCGGTTCCTGGATCCTGCGGGCTGAGCCTGAGCGGGAGGGAGGCTGGGCTGGCTCTTGCTGGCCAGCTGAGAGTTAGAGCAAAGGTGACTTTGAACTGGCAGAGGGCAGTGGCTGGGGCCGGGGCTGTCGATCTCAGTCCAAGCCTCCTTGGATCCTTCCATCCTTCTCTGGGCAGTGGGGGCAGAGTGGGGTCTGCCCCAGAGCAGAGCTTGTGATCAGCCCCCCTGAGCCAGCTCTGTGGCCAGCAGCGGGGGATGTCAGGAGAGTGCAGTGGCTACACCAAGGAGGAGGAAGCGCTTAGTCAAACAGTCACCCGATGCCAGGCAGCTCACGTGGTTGGTCATTCCCTATGCGTGCTTTATTTCTCTTTTGCAAATCCCTGGACTCGGAGGCTTGGGTGTGGTGTCTAGGGCAGGTGGAGCCCCAGAAGGTGTGGCATGGAATTGTCCCTATTGGGGTCTGCTGGTCCCCACGGTGGGGTCAGCATTGAGCTGGTCAAGTCGGGGACAGAGCAGAGGAGGCTGGAGCCAGGAACCGCAGCCAAGCTGCCTAACCGGGCTCCCGAGTGCCTCTGCCCTCCTTCCAGCTCGGCAAATTCATTCAGAGAAAGTGGCCTTCCTGAGGAGCAGTTTGGAAAAACACTTCGTACCTAGTACCCAGATCGGGGTCACACATGGGACACATCCCCTCCCTCACAACAGGCGGCCTCCTATGGTGAGAGGCAGAGAGGAACCTCGAGCCCCCAGCCCCACTCCCCACGCCCCAGTACCGTTGGTCCCAGGTCCAGACTGACTGCCACTTACCACCCACAAGGCCTCAGACGTGACTTCACCTCTCTTGCCTGTTTCCTCATCTGAAAAATGCGAATGGCAGGGTATGCGCCTCCTCGGGTTGTGCTGAGAGCACACGGGTTAATGTGTGTACAACACTGAGGGCAGAGCCCCGCGCCATAAACGCTCGGTAAATATTGGCTGCTCTCCTCCGCTTCCCCTCCCTCTTCCTTATCTTTGGCACCTTGCTAGCATCAGTCATCTCCATTTGGGACTTCCGGAACACAGATCGAATCCTGTCCCTCCTCTTAAGGCCCTCTGAGGGTCTCCAAAGGCCCGCAGGGGTTGGGGGGGCGTGTCTCAAACTCAGGGGGCTGAGCAGGTAGTCAACCAGTGAGGGCTCCCCCAGCTGAGGCATGGGCCGGCTGACCAGCTCTGCCTGACCCTCCCACAGCATCAGAGAAACTGAAAATCCAGAGAGCAATGTGATCACTTTCAATTTTGAAATTGCAATTGCAATTGAAAAGCCACCACCCAGGCCGAAGGAATACATTGCAGGAATTTGGCTCTGGATACTTCGATTCCAGGAGAAAATCCTGAGTCCTCATGCAGGTGTTCACAGCCCTCCAGGGTCCAGCCTCAGTTTACCCTTCCAGCTCAGCTCCTGAAGCTCTGCTTGGCCAGCTGGGACTGGCTCCAGCCAGCTTCTCGGCAGGTGGGCCTCTGGTGTCTGCTCGCTGGCATCCCTCCACCCTTTAGAGCCACGTGGAAGCCTGTGTCTCCCAGGTCTTTGTCCTCAAAGCTTCCATCCTCTGGTGACTGCATTTTCCTTCTGAGGGTCTCTTGTTTTTCTGTGCTCCTCTTTGAGCCTTTATCACAGCTGCTGCAGTTCCTCCTCTTAAAATCAAGGTGAGTGACAGAGCAGGGGTCAAGTCCTGGGCACTTTGTGTAAGTGATTCAAATAAGTGTCATCATTGCCCTGTCTTACAGGTGAGAAGGCCAGGGCTCAGAGGGTCTTGTCAATGGTTGGGAGTGGCCAGTCTTTACTGAAGCTCTCTCTGGCCGGGCAGCCCATGCTCTCTCCCAGGGAAGGAGAGGACCAGGTGCTGAGGGTAACAATAATGCTATGTCCGGTGGGGAAAAGCCATTCACTGGGGGCTAAGGCCAGGGACATCCAGGTGGGAACTTGGGCTGGGTGAAGGGTGAGTGTGCAGGGTCCAATGGCACTGACTTGAATCCTAGCTGGGCACTTCCTGGGGCCTTTGGGCATAAGTGGCACCTGCCAAACAAGTGATCTCGGAGGACCTCTTCTCCAGGTGAGGCTTCCTGCCCTCTGCCACCTACTCTGCTTCTCAGAACAAAGCCACCTAAGAGACTGTCTTAGAACATGAGTTTGATTCAGGTGGGGTCGACCGATCAGAGGCAACTCCACTGAGAAGACACTTTGTCACTCACAGTTCCCAGCAGGAGGGGCACCCCATGCCATGTAGGACCACATGGGGAGGTGCAAGGCCAGTCAAGAGACACAGGGAGTGAGGAGGAAGCAGGGCTAAGAATTTATTTTTTAAAGTACGTATTTATGGGATATAGTGTCATTTTTTGGATCTATCAGTGCAGTCTGTAGGGCCAGAGTTTTTTGTTTGTTTATTTTCCTTGCCAGAGGGTGCATGGTCTTACCAGAGAGGAAGAGAGAGAAAAGGCACCCCTCAAGGGGGTGTGGTCACACTTCAATCCCTTCTCCTCCATTTCCACATCCTGCCAGGATTTGGAGTGTGCATGCACTTGGGCCCAGTGTTTTTGTTTGTTTGTTTGTTTTTAAGGTTTTCGCTATAAGGAATGTGCACTTGCCAGAGAAAGTGAGAGAGGGAAAGTGAGAAATGACACCCCAGCGGAGATGGCCATACTGCAATCCCTTTTCCCCCATCTTCCCCCTCCTGAGATTTTTGGCACATAGACCCATGTGCCCAACATCATTTTCAAGCTGCCTGATGTGGGACTCAAACTACAATTGGCCATGTAAGAGTCTAGCACCTTTACCACCATGCCACCCTCTGGCCCCATGCCCAGTGTTTTCTAAGCTGCTGAGGCTGTGATTCGAACCGTGGCAAGATATGTAGGATCCCACTTCCTTAAATGCTAGGCTATGGAGCCAGCCCAAGCCCTAAGCAAGAGTCTTTATTGTGGTGTTTATGGGAGAGGTGGGAGAGGTGGGAGAGGCCAGGTTAACAGGTTTAGGATTGGCCAGTTAGAATCATTTCTACAGACACCAGGCTGTCCGAAGTAATTTGATACTTGGGTCTGGGGTGATTAGGGCAGGGAAATACTGCCTCAGGTTGTAAGAGGCCTGGAGAGCCCGATGAAGGAGGTGGTTGGGGTCTGGTCTCTGCATTGGCTGGTTGGATCTGAAAGGCATATTGGGTTAGTCATTTGCTCTCTGTTGGAACTAGGTACCCTGAGGGTGCAGTCCATCACTGGTCAGAGGGGCCCAGATGCCAGCGCATCAAGAATAGAAATGAGAAAATATGAGGACTCTTCAACACATTCCTAGGGGAAAAGTTCAAATGGGGGCCAGCAGGTGGCATGGAGGTTGAGGCAGATGGATCCCACATTGCCAATTCCACAGTTCAAGTCCCGGACCTGGTTGCTTGCTTTCTCACTTTCCCTTTTTCTCTCTCTCTGGTCTGCACATGGGGCCTATAGCAAACTTATAAAAAATAATAATAATAAATAAATAAATAAATAAAATAATTTTGAAAAAGAAAAAAAAAACCTTTTATATAACAAAACTATACATGGATTTTAATTTTTTGTACCAAAGTAAATTCATACTTTAATTCTATTTTCCCATGAACTTTTGGAAGTCCCTTCATGTAGTTAATACAGAGTCAGAAAAACAGAAAGCTGAAGAAAGGGACATCGGGGGCCTGGGGAGAAGGGCATGTCCCTTGTGATATGGCTGGGGGGCAAGCTTTTAGCAACAAGGCCCCCAGCCGCAGGTGAACACGACGTTCTGCTAGCTGACTTCGAACTCCATAAATTACAGCTTTTTTTTTCAGCCCTTGTTTGGAAAAAGTGAAATGAACAAATGAAGACAGGAGTGAAATTAAAAGATAATTGGAAGTCTATATTGGGCTTCTGTGAATGTGCGAGTGCGCCGTCAATCTGGTCTCTCCGTGCGGGCAGGGTAAATTGAGAAGTCTTCGGTTGGCTCAGGGGGTGGATAAAACAGAGACAAATGCGTGCCATGCAAATAAACAGGCCCATCCTTGTGTGATTAGCTTTGCATTCCATCCTGCCTGTGCCCACGCTGGGCTGTGCAGCCTGAGTAGAGGCCAGGCAGGTGTGGCAGGTGAGGCCTTGAGTGGCTGGGAGGGGGCAGGCACTGCCTCCTCAGGAGGGGAGGCTGGTGTGCAGAGAGGGTGGAGCTGCCAGAGAGGGATGTGGGGAGGCGTGTGGCACAAACACACATGCATGCACCCATGCACACACATGTACTTGTCGGTGTGTGCATGTATTATGTATGAGTATACCCCTACACACACGTGAGTGAAGGTATGAACTAGTCGAGCTCAGAAGGGCCAGGGTCAAGAGGTCCTAATCTGACTGATGGGAAGACTGAGTCTGAGAGGGAGTCCATCCCAACTGGGACTAGAACACGGGGCATCTGGCTGGGTCTGGGGGCAGAGGAGGAGGTCAAAGACATAGTCCTACTCATCCAAAAGGTGCTCAGGAAGTGCCTGGTGGATCTTGACACTTACCCAGGGTCCCTGTGCTGGGTCAACTCTCCTTGACTCTGGACTCCCACAATCTTCCCTACCATTTGGGAACTGGACGCCAGTGCTAGGCCGTTGCAGGGGTCCTCTGACCCCCGCATTCCTCAGAGGAGCGAGTGCCCTGTCTTGCCAGGTGGCAAGTACGTCAAGTAGCCCTCCTTCCTGGTTCTGCGCCACCCCCACCCCCCCGGCTCCTGCTGCGCTCCACCTGGGCAGTGCTGGTACTCTGCTGGCACAGAGGCACCTGCTCTGAGGAAGCCGGCTCGGTCAGGATGCTGAGTCTGCAAAGGTGCACCAGCCGATACCACGGCAGACCCTCCATGAGGAATCCCCCCTCCCAGGCCCCGGAGCCAGGCCACTCATCCCCAGGTATCCCATCAAGCTGTCTGTTCACGTGACCTCAGCAAGGAGCTGTCATAATTACTAAGGCACAGCCTTGACTGAGTGCATCTGACTGCCACCCTGGGTGGCTGTACTGTCACCCCCGTTTTACATTGAGGACACTGAGGTTCCCAGGAGATGAGGTGACCTACTTGTCCAAGGTCCCACTGGCTTCTGAGTGGCATGCAGGTGGGACTCCAGACAGGCTTCTCTTTGACCTCGAGACTTTTGACCCATCCAGCCCACCTGGCTGCCTGCTGCCAAAGTTCTCCTCCTCGGGACCCGAGGGAGGGCCAGTGCCATTCT